TGATGAGCATCTAGGCCAGTTCACATAAGAACAAATTTCATTTAGGATTCAAATGAAATTATGTGAGCATTCTTTCCACTCTCCTTTTCAGTTTCTATGAGTGTCTATCACTATGTAGTAGGCCGCTCTAAAGCTTAGTGGCTTGAAGGAAATACCATTGCATTTGTTCACAGCTCTATGATTCATCATTTGTGACTGATCTCCCTCGTAACTTGTGGCACCATGCCTCTGGTGGAGTCACAGGGAATGGGTAATCTAATGTCTTCGTTTACCTGGCTGGAAGTATGCAATCTCTTGGCTGAGATGCTCCAACAGGGCTCTCCAGGAGGCTACCTCTGGCTTATTCACTTCAAGGTCTTAGGGGTCCAGCTGAAGCAATAAGAGGACAGACCCTGCCGGGTGGAGCATGCCCCTAATCCCAGCACTTGGGAGGTGGAGGCAGGTGAGTTTATGGCCACTATGGTCTACAAAACAATTCCTGTACAGTCAGGGCTGCTACACAGCAAAACAGTGTCTCAAAAAAAAGAGGACAAATTCATAAAGCCCTTTTCAAACCTGTGTATGTGTCTCATTTGCCAAAAACATCCAAACAGCCACAGCAAACTTCAAACGGTGGAGCAGTCGGTTCTTCTTAATGAGAGGAGTACCACAGTCTCATTGCAAGTCTTTGGGCACTGAAACCCCGGCACTGTCTTCACATAACCACAGACCTGCCTCCATACTCTGTTACCTCTTCGTCTTACTGAATCATAGAAATTTTCTTTATGTCTGCCAGATCATGGTTTGACCCTTCCGCTCATCCCCCAAGTCTGCTTTTAACTCACACATTTCTAGTCCTTGCTTGGCGTAGCTGCAACCAACACCGTCAACCACCCAGATTTTTCTCTTTCGTTTCTAACCCTGGCTTACACAGCCCCTGACATCCCCCTTAGACTGCCCACTGCCCTCCCCCGGTGCTTTCTCAGGGTTCTTGGAACAACTCCTCCGCGGGCCATGTTACAAATCCCGTCCCGTCCTCAGTTTACTTCCTCACAATACCAGACTTTCTACAACTGTGGTTCAAGGAACATCCTGAATCAGGGGGCATGGAGTGAAGATGAGGCAGGCTGGCAAAGACGTGTTAAACTGCTCTCTCGTTCAACCGAAAAGTCACGAGATGAGCAGTCTATTAAATGTCTCAGTAGGGCCAGTGAGATGACTCAGCAGATGGGCACTCGCTGCAGAAGGATGGTGACCCGAATTCCATCCCTGGAACCTGGAAAAAAAGTGGAAGGAGCGAATTGACTCCACAAAATTGTCTTCCAGCCTCCCACACATGTATTGTGGCACAGTCCTCTCTCCTCTACAATAACAATAATTTGAAAATGCCTTGGTATCTATGGGCTATTTTTCTTTTCTGTCAGTTTGGCAGAAGCCAAGGACTCATCTGAGAGGAAGGAATGACAGTTAGAAAATACCTCCAAAAGATCAGCCTGTAGGTGAGCCATGAGCGTGTGGGGACAGTTTCTTGCTGATGATTGATGTGGATGAGCCCAGCCCACGGCAAACAGTGCCACCTCCTGGACAGCTGGTCCTGAGTTGTCTAAGAAAGCAATCTGAACAAGCCATGGGGAGCAAACCATTAAGCAACATCTCTCCACGGCTTTTGATTCAATCCCTATCTCCAGGTTCCTGCCTTTGAATTCCTGTCCTGACTTTCCTAATGATTGGCTGTGATACGGAAGTGTAGGATGAAATAAATGCCACCCCCTCCCACTCTGTCCCTCCCCTGCCCTCGATTTCCTTTCAGTCATGGTGTTTTATCACAGCCATAGAAACCCTGAGACAGTAGGCAAATGGCTACAGATAGACCATGAGGCGTGAACCGGGTATTAACGGATAAGGAGAAGACAAACGAGGCAGTAAGAACCGGTTCTCTCCAGTCACAGGGCAACCTAGAAATGCACAGCAGGTTTGTGGAAATACAATGTTGCTGGCACAGGGAAAGGTCCAAGGTGAAGTTGACAGGAGAGGGGATGGAGAAGGAGGGACCGGTTATGAATTAGACAGCTACATTTAAAATTAATTTTCAGTGTTTTTTTCTGTGCCGGGTCTGTAAACCAAGACCGTGTGCATGTGGGAAGCCCTCTAGCACTGAGCTCCAGATTAGCCACATTTACAGAGTCCTTGCTGTCCTTACAAACACTTATCCTTTCAGTAAGGAAACATTTTTAAGTTGGTTGCATTTTAATCACCAGATTTGAATTTTGCAATGATTTCAAGGATAGCAGCTTGCCTTCAACTTGGGCAGTCTAGGGACTTGGTCTTACACACACACACACACACACACACACACACACACACACACACACAGAGCTTCACAGGAGGGCAGTGCTCTTGTGGGCTTCACAAGCCTCCTCTGGGCAAAAGGTTCCGTTTCTCAGCCCAGAAGTAGACAGAGCCTAGAATAAACTAATCACTGTATTCTCAATCAGGATTTTCCATGCTAGATGGAGTTTCTGGACTCTCAGAAGGGTGAGTTAGGAGACATGCCTTCTTTCTGGGGATAGAACTGGCATAGAAAGGGAGGCAGGGATGGACAGAGCTGAGCAACAGTCCTGGCAGGGGCCTCTGGAGGACTGTCACTGATGGAATGCATATATAATAAAGAGGGCCTTGTTAGACTGGTTCACACCACCTGCTCTGGGCAGTCCAACAACACTGTCTACACAGTGGCTGCTCAGTGCATGAGGCTGGGTGCCTCGGCGGTTCCAATGTGGCACTGCAGGCCCTGGGGATGCCCTGGAGAGCCAATGACCTGCAGTCTGTGTTGGAAGGCTGAAGAAGCTGTGCTCAGGTGTTAGCAAAGGATGGTGGCAGCAGCAGCAGCAGCAGCGTCACTGAAGGAGCAGCTGTAGGGTGAGCAAGCTGTCAACATGGTAGACATACTTACCAGCAGAGGCAACTGCAAACTGGCAAAACTAAGAGCTCCCCCTCAGACTTCCTCACATCTGGACTGCACAGAGGCGCTTCCCACATATAGGATGGGTCTCCCCACTACTCTTTACCTAACCTTGATGATACCTTACAGGTGTGCCCAGTAGCTTGCCTCTTGGAAGATTCTAGATCTTGTCAGACAGTACTGACCATCACATAGGCTGTCTCTGGTTTGCTTTTTAAAAGAGGTTTAAGGTACATCTGTCCCCTGCAACCCAAGCACATTTCAGTGCCTCCAATGAATTTTGTGGAGACTTGAGTAGAAAAACTGACTGCCATCTAGTAGAATTTCAAGATGGGTCTGGAGCTAGAATAAATGGGAAGAGCACTTAGATTAACAAGAAGTCCCCTTCATCACTAGATCTGGATGTTCTCACACTCTTCCTCCCTCCCCTCGGCTAAGTAGTTTGGGTAGACCTTGCTAACTTCCAGTCTTGTTCTTCGGGATTCTGGAATGATAGATGTGTGCCACCACCATGCCAGTCTGGAAAAAACACACTACCAGCAGCGGTGGTGACATTGCTCAGCATGTAAAAGTACATGCTGCCAAGTCTGATGGCCTGAGTGTGTTTCCCAGGACCCATGTTGCAGGAACAACCGATAAGTTGCTCTCTGACCCGTAAAGGTATGCTGTGGTGTGTATATGCCTCCTCCGCCCACACACAAAATAAACACATAAGGTGGTCATGGTGCCACACACTTTAATCCCAGCACTCAGGAGGTAGGGGGATTTCTGTGAAACTATCACCCCTGTATTGGTGCTAAGAGGGAGTGATTAACTCACAAGGGCAGAACCTTGGTGACCAAGATTAGCTGTGCTTATATAGGTTTGAGGAAAGAATCTGCCCCTGTTGACTTTTGGCCATCTGCCTTGTCGGCACAAGGCGTTATTCACTTGTGAGGGGCCCAGCATTCGAGGGAGCACCCTGAAAGCAGAGCAGTGCTCAGCAAACAACTGAGCCTGCCTGACTCTGGGCCTCTCAACCCTGAACTACTAGGAAATACACCCTTATTCTTCACGCTTGCCTATTACAACTTGTGGTGTTGGTTTTGTGACAAGGTCTCTTTATTGCATAGGCAACCTGGAACTATGTATCCGAAGGCCAGGCTTGAACTCACGCAAACTTCCTATCAATTTCCTGAATGCAGAGATTACAAGCATATTATGCTTCATTTTTGTACCACAAGTGGGCTTAAGACACATTCTAAAGTTTTTATAGAATTTCACTCGAATGAATGGATCTAAGGTTTATAATTTCTGGCCACTGACTGTTCATCGAATTCTGTCCCTCTGAATCATTTGGTAAATGATTCTATGAATGTTTGCATTTTATTATCCACTGTTACAAAACTTCTCATTAGGTGAAGTATATGCTCATCTAACTGCAGAAGTCTATATTACATCCAAAGTAAATTCTCAGCTTTTAAATAATACCCAGATACCCACAAGACAGGGTTTCGCTGTGTAGCCCTAGCTGTCCTGGAACTCGCTTTGTAGACCAGGCTGGACTCGAACTCACAGAGATCCTCCTACCTCTGCCTCCCAAGTGCTGGGATTAAAGGCATGCACCACCACCCCTTGATCTTTTTTTGGACAAATTCCATTTTTCCATTTAGAATCTCCCCCCACAAGTCCTACAAAGCAACATTCTCTAGTATGTCATAATATACCCTTTCCTTACTTACATCACACTTTATAGTGTTAACTGCAGAGCCTGAGAGCCAAACATACCACACAGACCACCATTCAAAACTGCTGAATCTGGACAGTAGTAATACCAATCTTCAAAGGCTCAAAGCTCAAAGCATAGGGCTGGAGAGACGGCTCAGTGGCTGAGACTATTAGCTGCTCTCATAGAGGATCTGGGTTCAATCCCCAGTGCCAACATGGCGGCTTACAACTGTAACTCCAGTTCCAGGGGATCTGAAGCCCTCTTCTGAGTTCTACATATGATGAACAGACAGGCGTGCAGACAAAACACTCAGGCACAATAAATAATAATAAAGACCCTCAAGTCAATAAATGTGATCTTTTTTTTATGAGACTTCAGTTTTTGAAATACACAAAATTTACAGCACAAACACAGTATTTACATTTCAAGTTATCTTTACAAAAATGTGTGCCATTTGGGAAGAATACTATTGAGATCATGATCAAAGATATCTGTCAGAATTCAAAACGGACTCATGGAATCAGGTCTCCACAAAACCACTGTATAATGATATAACAGAGCATGGCTGATGTCAGGGTTTGTTTATCCATACCTAAAAATGAGGCTGGTTCTCCGGTCTGCCAACAATAGTCTTGAGTCAAATCTGGCTGGGGCTAGTTTCATAGCTGCAACCTAAAACTGGTTGTCATCTTTTTATTGGGTTGTTGAAAAAAAACAAAAACCGCAAACAAAAATAGTAAGCAAAGAAGCCTGTCTGTCTAAGACAGATGTGTCTCATTATTTATTCTCTATTTCTTTACAGAAAAAGTTGGCTGAGAGTGTGCTAGTGAGCTGTTGGAAGATACAGTGGATTTTCACCTGGACACCACAGTCCTGTGCTGGTGCCCCAGAACTCCTCATTTCTGAAGTGAGGCACTTTTGTTTGCGTATGTACATTTCCAAGACATAATTACATCTGGTGATTAGCATTGGTACTTGATACTTAGCCCTTTGCAATTAGGCCTGCTGACAAAAATTACAGTACCCTAGGGACTAAGTCAAACAGAGTACTGTAGCAACAGTCCCCGAGCTCTTCAGTAGCTATTAGTAATTCAAGACCACTTGAATGTTAATAAAGTCAATAATTTAGATGTGCTAAAAGGAAGTGATACTTCTACATTATTTAAATAAGATCTACACAAACATGTTTGGACATCCTGATTCGTTATTTTCAGAAGAGAGAATAACTAGCTTAGTAGCTACTTATTTTAAAAAATGAGCAATGGATAAAAGGAAGAGGAAAATGAAAAGTTACACTGATAGACTTTGGCATGCAAAGCCTGGTGTCCCTCAGCACTTGCTCCCAGGCTGGCCTGGCTTCTTGGGCTGCAGCGAGTATGGGGGGAAACCTGCAGCCAATCAGCGAGGGTTCATCAAAGCTGACAGGTCCTTCCGCAAATCCTTTAAAAGTACAAGTTGTACAGCTGTCAGCACAGCTTCCCGGCGTGCTCACTAATTCCAGGGCAGGAGGCTCTTCATGCTGCAGAAGAACACGTCTGCACGCTGTCCCTTCTTCCGAGCAGGCTGTCTGTCACATCACGGGGACATCCTGTGTCTGTGTATTACATCATGGAGACACCCCCGTGTCTGTATGTCACATCATGGGGACACCCTGTGTCTGTGCGTCACATCATGGGGACATCCCGTGTCTGTGCGTCGGATCATGGGGACACCCTGTGTCTGTGCGTCACATCATGGGGACACCCCTGTGATGGCCAAGTGTGAGATGTTCAGAAGACGCTGAGGTAGGTGATTTTCAAATGAAGGTCTTCTACACCCTGATTCGATCTGGACTAGCTTCCTTGTGTATCCTCCTCCGGGGAAATATCTTCCGCTTAAGGGCAATTATCTACATGATGAGGACAGAAAGTATTAGTTGGCCACACTGAAGAAGGACCGTAGGTGAAGCCGGCATCTCTTCCGTGACCCACACCTTTCTGATTCAAGTTCCCTCACACTTCCCCCAAACAAAAGCAATCGCTAGCTAGCCTAGTGTCACAGTCAGTATGCTCACGCAGGTGCCCCAGAGATGCAAGCCTAAAATGATGTTGGCCATGGCTCATTTTTCGAAGATCTGTATGTAATGTGAGACTTATACAGCCATTGCTAAAGACATTTATTTTTCAAGACCTTTGGCCAGTTTCATTTGATTTTTTAATTGAAAGGAACTGCTGCTGTTTAATCATTAGAACACTAATTCTGGGTTTGAATAGACTTTTTCATAAGACAGTTTTTAAAAAAAAAGCTACATTAGGGGCTGGAGAGATGACTCTCAGTGGTTAAGAGCATTGGCTGCTCTTCCAGAGGACCTAGTTCAATTCCCAGCATCCACATGGCAGCTCACAACTGTCTGTAACTTCAGTTCCAGGGGATGATACCTGTATACCAATGCACATAAAGTTAAATTATTAAGAAAAAAACTACATTAAAATCCTGTCATTTTTTTCTATACTTATTAACAATAAAGACAATGGTTATGAATGGGTTACAATGCAGAGTTAATTTCTAGGTGCTAGAAAGACGGCTCAGCATTTAAGAGCCTGGTTATTCTTACAGAGGAAAGGGTCTGATTTCCAGCACCCATCTGGTGGTTCACCACTGTCTGCAACTCTAGTTCTGGGGAATCCAGCGCCCTCTTCTGGCCTTCGCTGGCACTTGCATGCACATGGGGCATAGCACCTTGAGCATGCAAAACACCCACACACATAAAAATAAGCAAAAAATTATTGTGAAGTTCATTTTTTTTTCAAGGCAGGGTTTCTCTGTAGCTTTGGGGGCTGTTCTGGAACTTGCTCAGTAGACCAGGCTGGCCTCAAACTCACAGAGCTCCATCTGCCTGTCTCTTGTCTGCTGAGGCTAAATGTGTGTGCCACCGCCACCTGGCCTTTTGAAGTTCATTTCTAAACATGTCACTTAGAATGTGACCTTAGTCACATATTTATTTTCTCTGCTGGGGGAGGGCAGTGTTTGCTGTTTGTCTTAGGGTGGGTGGTACGGGTGAGGACAGGCAGAAGGATTGTGACCGGAGTCGGCAGAGCAGGGTGCTGGAGAATCTTCCTTTGCCTTCTCTCCCCCTCCATCTTTCTAGCTCCTGTCCTTTCTAGTACAAGTGACAGGAGGAAGCTTGGTCTTCGTTTCCTACAACAATCCGTGTGGCTCACCTCTTCCCTCTCCTTCAACTTAAAACACCTGCGAGCACACTGCTGAGATCCTCGGGGGGGGACCACGTCTTTTAAGCAGGGACGTTGTGTTTCTCCCCCTACAAGAACATGGCAACACGGACCAAGAAAGGCCTAGCTACTTGGAAGGCGGGTGACAATGGCTGCCACACTGTCCTGCTCAGTCGCTCCTTTTGCGACTTCTCCTAAGGCTCTCGGTGCCCACACTCTTCCTGCTCAGTGTGCACTTCCTGTGAGTGACAAGCTTAGCAGCAGCTCCACTCCGCACTCCCTCCCTCGAGACTGAGGCCTCTGGGCTTGCACCAGGGAGAGGGGCCCACTTCCCACTTCTCCCCTTCAGGCGTTCTTTTCACAGTATTCCACACTACAGCTCAGTGAGGATTCTTTCACCGTTTTAGAATCAGCCCTTATATCCATCTTCCTGTTTCTGGACCCTCATCAAGGGTTGGATGTATGCCCAGGTGGGCAGAAGTGAGCCCAGATGCACAAGGGCGCGACAGAGGAGGAAGGGCGATCTGGCAATTCAGAGGTGTAAGCAAGAGGACTGCTGGTGTGTGTACAGGGACACGCAGGGCCATGACGTCTGAGAGGGGACTGCTGGTGTGTATACAGTGACACGCAGGGCCATGTCATCTGAGAGGGGACTGCTGGTGTGTGCAGGGACACTCAGGATCATGGGTAATGACTCTAGGCGAAGTTGGGACTAGAAATAGAACTTTTCAGTTATAGTGTGGGTTCCACAGTTAACCCACTGAGTTTGTAAGTAAAAAGGAAGACAAGAAATAAATGCAAGGTCTCTAGGCTGGCTGAAGAGGACATGACTTTACACGCTGGACACATGGACAGCGATGAGCTAAGGGAAAATGCTCTGTTTGTGAAACTGCTTTGCCTTCCCTTTCCTGCTTTTTTTTTGGGGGGCGGTGTTCAGATTTTCAACACAACTTCTAAGTAGCCCAGGCTATCCTCAAATTTGTGATTCAGCCTCCCAATTTCTAGCATTCTGCACCTGACTGTGGGTGTGAATTTATAATATTTTCTAAAAGGTACACTGATACAGTCCACTGAGAAATAGTACTTAAGATCTATGTAAAATATAGAAAACTTACCTGTTCAGCAAAGAATGAGAATATAGTAAATATAATCAATGTTGCTAGGACGCAATGGGTCCAAAACTTCAACTTGTCTCGATATGCCCTCCTGTTCAGAGACAAAAGAATCCTTCACTGACTTTTACAAAAACATACTGTACATATTGTAAGGCAAAGGATACTATCCATAGTCAACCCTAAAAATTAATAAAATATACATTTCTGGGTTTTTTGTTGCTGTTGTTGCTGCTGTTTTTTTTTTTTTTTTTTTTTTCCTTTGAGACAGGGTTTCTCTGTATTGTTTTGGAGGCTGTCCTGGAACTCGCTTTGTAGACCAGGCTGGCCTCGCACTCACACAGAGATCCGCCTGCCTCTGCCTCCCGAGTGCTGGGATTAAAGACATGCGCCACCACAGCCAGCTAAAATATACATTTCTAACACAAGCTCAGATCTTTTATTTTATAATAAATACTGTAAATGGTTCCTCGGCTTCCAAAGAACAGTATTTGTAGACCTTAAAATAACATTTTAAAATTTATTCATTCACATTCATTTACTTTGGAAAAAATTTCTGGGTACGGAAGAATAAACAAGATTAAGTTTCTTCTTGAAACTGTTTAGAAACTTGGAGAGTCACTGACATGGCTAGAAACATGTGTAATCAAAATTAAAGTTTTATAGACACCCCAGACAGATGGGGCCAGCTGCGCCAATAAGGCACCATTTTCCCTTAGCTTTGAGGGAGAAGGAACGTGTCTGGCTGAAAAGGGGAAAGTAACAGTGGCAGGGGGGCACAGTCACCCAGAGTCCCACAGAAGCCATGAGCACAGTCCGCGGAGCTCAGAGTCCCACAGAAGCCATGAGCAGAGTCCATAGGAACTCAGAGTCCGCGGAGCTCAGAGCCCCACAGAAGCTATGTTGCGGAGCTCTGGGACACGGAAAGCAGCTATCAGGGACTGAGGCGACTCTGGAAATGAAGTTCACCTGTAAACCTCAGGAAAGTGGGTGAAATGTGGGGGTACGGGCGTGTCATACAATCAGGGTAGAAATGGAGGCTGTGCAAAGGACAGACGGACAAAAAGCACACAGTCCAGATTTAGCCGAGACACGCAAGAGTGAGGGCTGTATTAGGGCGGTGAGAAGAACAAGGAACAGAGCAAAAGTGAGGGTAGAATGAAGGGGACATAGAAATGACAAGAGCTGGGGGCAGAGAGAGGGAGCGCAACAGTTTCTCATCTACACTTTGGAAACAATGAACGGTTAGGAACATTCAATACAAAATGCTTAAAACATAAGCCAGTACCTACTACACTGGGGCTTTTGCCTCAGTCTTTGAGAATAGAAGTCTCTCTAGTTTAAGTCCTATTCTTCCACACGTGCTTCTTTCTCTCCCATAACCAGACACAGCCAGTTCAGTGGACTCTGGTGAGTGTGGGCTCACCACCCCAGCTGTGCACCACTGGACACAGCCAGTTCAGTGGACTCTAGTGAGTGTGGGCTCACCACCCAGCTGTGCACCACTGGACTATTCACAGTTGCATCTTAGATGTCTGTCAACAGGTGAAGGAAAAAGAAAATATGATCCACATACACAGTGGGATTTATTGAGCCATAAAGAAAAAGGAAATCATACATTAGCAGGGAAATGGATGTAACTGGAAATTCTCAAGTTAAGAGAAAAAGCCAGACTCAAAAAGACAAATACTACATATTTTCTTTCATATGTGGATCCTAGATTTTAATCTGTATATTAAGATATTAAGTGAGAAGCTGTGTATGTAAGATGAATCCACAATCTCTCACAGCTTCTCCTTATACAAATGAAAATGAGCAGAGAGCATACAGTTTCATGTGTGTACCTAGCTTATGAAGCTAAAAAGCTTCATGGGGAGTGGAGAAAAACTCCTACCTGGCAGGGGGGAGGGGAGATAGGAGCTAAAAGAATAGATATATCATGAGGGATAGGGGCACTAATGAAGGAAAGAAGGGGACCCACAAGAGGACAGGGAGACAGGGATGGAGAGTGAGGGGACAGAACAAATAACGGACTGTACAATGTTAAAATACATAACAAAACACATTATTATGTACATGCTAACAAAAACATATAATATAAATTAGAAAAAAACTAACTTAAAAAATTAGCCGAAACTGTATTCTGCACTCAAGAGCCTGAGGCAGGCAGGCAGCTGCCTCGTTTTTCTTAGTGTGTTGTTTCTTCAGAGCAAAAACCAGCATTTACGTTGTAGGACTCATGCAGTAACAAGGCACCGACTCTTGGGTGCTCTGGTCTGGGCTTCTTCTTTGTTTAAGGGCTTTCTGACAACATATTGGCAGATATCATCATCTTCAGAGAAACCGAAAAGCTTTTGGATCCTATGAGGTCTTTTAGGGCCCGACCTAGAGGCACAGTAGTGTCCCTCAGTCTAGGAACATCCTTCTCTCCTTCTCCCTTTGTTTCTTTTTCTTTTTGCAATAACCAAGATAAGAACACCCAGACTGGCATCCATGGTGCCCCCTGAACAGATTGGCACTTCCTCTCTCTCTGGTTCTCCTTGGTCTATAACAAGAACTCAACAGCAAGCACACTCTGCCATGGGTCAAGACAGCTTGCTTTATGAGAAAACCTTGTTTGTCATTGTCATTTTCCCATCTCTGATTTGGACCACATATAACCTATCCACTGTTCACCTAGAACATCAGTATGTACATTTCACAGAAAGTACAAAACTTGTGTTCATTGTCCAGGCCAATGAGTTTCTGATAGCTGGTGTCTGGGAAGGAGATATTCAGCTTCATCTTGACATAGCCAACTACCTAGGAGGCACCACCAGAAAAAAAAAAAAAAAAAAAGCTTAACCTCCCTTTGAGTCCACCACTTGCTCAGCTGCTGCGCTGAGATAATCACTGGACTGGGGGAATTAACGCTCAAGCATGTCAAGAGCTCTCTTTGCAGCTCCCGAAAACTGAACACAGTGAGAAGCTGTGTATGTAAGAGGAATCCACAATCTCTCACAGCTTCTCCTCATACAAATGAAAATGAGCAGAGAGAAGCAGAGAGCACACAGTTTCATTTACGCACCTGCACCCACCAGGCTCTTTCCAGTGTCTGCCAAAGACCTGCCAATTTCCCAACAGTCCCTTGGACTCCATCCACTGCTCTTCATCCTACCCGCCCCCCTCCCCCCACGTCAACAGACAGCATCAAGGTCTACAGCAGACATTTCTCAGCTTGGTCTTAATCCACCAATCTAATATTTCCACCAGATATTTGGGAATTGCCTTTATTTATGACTTTCTTTGTTCTATTATTATAAAAACTTCATCTAACTATTACCACATTGGAACATGGAATTAGAGGTAACTTAATTCTGTGTTCCCAGGGCATGGCCACTCTTATTTGGCTCCAGAATAAACTTACCTACCTTGACATGAGAGTTGTATTTTTGCAGACAGCTGTTAACCTACCTAATGTTTCTAACCAGTATATCTCTAAAGTTCTTTTACTTATGACTTTCTTTTGTTTTATAACTACAGAAACTTCTCTCCCTTTGGGGTGAGAGCCATGTTTCATAAGGACAAAATAAAGTCCAAATGCTATCTTTCCCCAAAAGGATCAGTGTTCCGTTCCCAGGATACCAATATCATGACAAACCTTGATGCTACCGCCAATATATCCTATCTGGTGCCCATCACCCTGGGTAGGCATTACATATCCTTCATCTTTGGGTTCCAGCATCTGCCATAGTGAGGCAGTCAAAGGGTTAAAAGTCTTGATAAATTCGAAGATTAAGCTTCCTGACTTCATGGCAGTAAGTGAAACACGAAGGAAGCGCATGAAGCAGCTACAGAACATATGAGAATGTGTGAACTTGAGAATCAGGCTTGATCTCTTACTTGCCAGTTACTTGAGTGTGAGCAAATTACCCCAGCACTCATTAGCTGAGCCAAGGTTCAGATCGCAAGTTGCAGACCAGCTTGGGCTGCAAGGGGAATTCCAGACCAGCATGGGAGACCCTGTCTTAAAAAGCAAAGGCTCAGGGTGTATCTTGGCTGTAAAGCACTTGCCTAGCACACACAAGGTCTTGGGATTGACCCTTATCACTGAAGAAAACCATTCCCATAAGTAGTGTCAGACATACAAGGTCACACAGCACATGCCCTTACGTATCCAGCATGGTCAGTGACACACAGCACGCGTCCTTACATATTCAGTCCTTACATATCCAGCACAGTCAGTGACACATAGCACACATCCTTACGTATCCAGCACGGGCAGTGAGAAGAAGGCAAATGAACGGTCACCGGGGCTAAGGGTGAAGTGATCTGGAAACGACTGGCCTAGGGCTCTGGGATACTTCTTCAGCGATGAAAGGGTCTTTAAACTTGAGCAATGCTGCTCAAGTTTATGCACCATGAATATGCTCGAAAATAGTAAGGTGTATTCTATGACCTCCATTTCAATTTTTGTCATCTTCTCCTGTCTTCATCCTTCCCAGCTACAGCAGACAACTTCTAAACAGTGCTTTACCAGACGTCACTCAGACACTAGCTACGGAGTTTCCATTAGCTCCAAAAGCTTGCTTGACAGTCTGGTCAGCCCATGCTCATTTCATGCGCCTCTCAATATGCCCAACACAGTAAGGTCTTCCAAATCAGTGATGCTGTTCACTTAGGCATCCATCAATAACAACTGAATGAATAAGCTTTCATTCAGTAAAACTGTAAAAACCCAGCCACATATTTTTTCAAATCTCTAGAATGCCAGAAAATGTCTTTCAAATGTTTAATAAAACTGTAACTGTATTTTCCCAAATAAATTACACAGCAGGAAAAATATTAAGGAAATGTCAGCAACCTAAAATCCAGATATAAATGTATATGTAGCTACACGGGCACACATGCATATATGCAAAACCAGAATTTACCATTCCTGCAGCTCATGCATGTGAAGAAAGCGGTTCCGATACTCTCTCGGCAGCTCAAACTGGGAAGGTATGGGAAACATGGATTCATAGAAGTCTCTGAGCACGGCCTTGACTGTCTGGGCGTCTTTATGATTGTGGTCAATGTTGTCATTCAGACAGACAAACTTCCTGAAACAGAGAGCTAACATCACTGATCATCACACGCATGAGTCTGATCCAATAAAGTAAGAGATCTGGGGCGCTGGCACCCTAAGTTGGTGCATTTGCTGATAAAGTTCCCTATCAGGAAATATCAGGAGGAAGAGTGTTTTCTAAAGTTTCCTTGCAAATTCCTTACCAAGAGAGCTAGGGCAGATAATTCTGAAAGAGTCATGTAACTATGGGAACAAATAAATGACTTCCATTTAGTGCAGCCAGATGTATGTGTTCAGGAAATGTATTTGACTGGCTGCAGTATTTTGTTAGTGGCTAGGAGAAAATTAGAAAGCACCTGAAACAGGTCCTTTGAGCTGTCGGACCATGCTCCTGTGGTGTTTGGCAGAGAGTTGGTCCTACAGTGCAGACCCTTTGAGTTTTGAATTAATGTATCTCCAACTAAGCTGAGAGGCTAGAGCTCAGCAAAACCAGGTTAGGATGGTATGTCCCTTCTTGCTTCAAGTTTTCTTTTTTTGGGGGGGAGGTGGGCATGTCAAGGCAGGGTTTCTCTGTGGCTTTGGAGCCTGTCCTGGAACTTGCTCTTGTAGACCAGGCTGGTCTTGAACTCACAGAGATCCACCTGCCTCTGCCTCCTGAGTGCTAGGATTAAAGGTGTGTGCCACCAACGCCCATTGTTTCAAGTTTTCTCTAGGGCAAATAATCACAAAACCAAGGTGCCACTAAGGGTATGTTAAGATGTGACAACACTTTTGAAAACAACAAAAATTTTTTAAAAATCTAATTTTACAAAACCTTCAGACCCCTTGGAAAAACAGAGAGGATGTGGGAACATGTTAAGAATCTGCATAAGGAACGAAAAAGGGAAAGAGTTTTTTAAAGACAATTAGCTGAGCCTGGTGGCTGGTGCCTGTATCTCAGGACTCAGGAGGTTGATCTCTGTAAATTTCAGCCAGGTTGGCATGTGAGAACCTGTCTCAAAAGTAAGACAAACAAAACAACAAACAGCCAGGGAGTTGTCCCAGCAGTTAGAGAGTCCACTCCGCGACCCCTCCTGTGTGCTAGGACATTAGGGACTCAGTCTGACTGCCTGGACAATTGCTCAGGACAAACCTTATTAGAAAAACCGAGTGCCAGCTGCCTGCAAGCCCAGCCCTTCCCTTCCAGTCTGCTCTGGACCTCACTGAATGGCCGGTGCCCCCACCACTTAGCAAGCCCTCCATGGGAACTTAGTCTTCAGTCACGGCTCCTGCCTCTTTGGTGAAACCAGCTGAAATAACAGAGTCCTTTTACGTTGGAACTTCTCTGTCCACTCCAAACAAACAGCCACTCCCTTCTCTCTACTCCTGCTCGTTCCCTTCCTAGTCAAGTTTACTTTTAGAATTAAAAAGCAAAACAAAACATATTTTTATAATCAATCAGAAAAAAAAAAGGTACCTGGGGTTTTTTCTTATGTCATCCAGCTGGCCAACCACATGAGAAACATTGGTACGAATCATTTTGAAAGCGATTTCTTCTTCTCCCATTATTTCAAACCTAATTATCAAACATATTTAAAGAGTATTTGGAAATGAAAAACAAAATTTCAATAGGAAAAGCATTCTTAAAAACTTTAGGGAAGCCGGGCGTTGGTGGCGCACGCCTTTAATCCCAGCATTTGGGAGGCAGAGGCAGGTGAATCTCTGTGAGTTCGAGACCAGCCTGGACTACCAAGCGAGTTCCAGGACAGCCTCCAAAGCCACAGAGAAACCCTGTCTCGAAAAACCAAAAAAAAAAAAAAAAAAAAAAAAACTTTAGGGAAGCCGGGCGTTGGTGGCATATGCCTTCAATCCCAGTTCTTGGAAGGCAGAGGCAGGTGGATCTCTGTGAGTTTGAGGCCAGCCTGGTCTACAGAGTGAGTTCCAGAACAGTCAGGACTACACATAGATATACACAGAGAATCCCTGTCTCGGGGGGAAAAAAAACCCAAAACAACCCCCCCCCAAAAAAAGCCAAAAAACTTTGAGTGGACCCAACATGCACAGAAATGACCAAATCTTTTAAGACGACTACAAGGAGCCTCACATGGTCCTTGAATGAATGCACAATTACTACGACACTGTAAAGGTGCAAACATGCCAGATCTTCAGAACCGTCCGCACGCGGGACAGAGATGCATTTATACTCACCTATATTTGTTCTTGTCTTTATATGCTTTGTGGATCTTGTCAGTTACTGGGTTACAGTTGGTGACAAGACTTTTAGTGACTGGTGGCTGCAAGAGAATACAAGTGGGTCAGACAGTCTACCAAGGCATGACGGGAAGAGCAGGTGAGGCACTGGCCTTGGTGCTGAATGTGAGGGCCACCAAGAGTGTATGTGACTAAGGACGTCTAGAGGGGACAGGGCTCAGGAGCCCAGCACAAGCTACAGCCTGGCTGTGGGGTACACATAAAGATATCCGAGGAGACAAGTGACGAGCTGGCAACCGAGAGTGCCTGCTTTCTCTCTTGAGGAGAAAAGGGCGTGTTCAAGTCCTTGATAACTAATAGCAATTTCGTTACCTTGACACACACGGGAATGACAAACCCATCCTTGACCTGATTAAGTAGTTTCTCAGACAGTCTCTTCCTCTGAAACCCTGGCTGACCTGGGCTTACTGAGGAGACCCAGGCTGATTTTAAACTTGTGATTCTGACACTTCTGCCCTGCATGTGGTGGATTACAGGCCATGTGTTACTAAGCCTGGCTTACACAGAATTAAAAACAAACAAAACACAGCAGGTGACTAACCTGCAGATGCCTCTGACTATAATAGCTTTCACAGACTTGGTATAACTAAATGTAGGGAAACTTTCAAAAAAGAATTATTATTTTAAAACTCTGCTAAGAATTTCTTTAGCCTGCAAAAGTTAACTTCCATGTTTTAAAAATGGTGTTATCCTCTCCAGAGGCAGAAAATGACTACTGATTACACACATACCCTTTCACTGATTATGGACATCTGTGAATCAACTGTGTTACAGGAGCTACTGATGGCTGTAAACCACCATGTAGGTACTGAACCCTGGTCCTCCATAAGAACAAAAAGTGCTCCTAACCACCGAGCCACCTCTCTCCTCCAGAAAAATTTTAATAGAATTTTACTCTGATTATGAAAGCAAAAGATACTCATTGTACAAAATATGGAAACACAAGTAGACAATACTAAAGAAACTATTGGTGCTTTAATGTCTTTTGAGGTGTGTATATTCTGCTATCCGAGTAGGAGTGGATAATATTAGGGAATTTTTGATAATTCAAGCAGTGTATGCTTCCCACTCCCCCTCCTCATCCAATTGATTTTCTAAGCTTTTCCCATATATCATATGGACAACTTACAAAAACAAGTTAAACAGCGTATGGTGTAAGCCCTTTCATCAATTCTGAGGTGCACACATTTGCATATCCATCTCTTATAGGTAACAATTGGTTAAGAAGTGCCGTTGCCACAGATGTGTGGAGCTCATCCGCCATCCCCCACAAAGCCGGGGGTGGGGGGGGGGGGAGGGAAGGGACAGCAGCACCCTGTCTGACATATCTCTGTGGAGCGCTCTTTCCAAGAGAGTTCTCGGGTCACTAGAGTGCCTGTTTATGGAATCCAACCAATTGGAAGAGGAACTTAGGTATTCACAGAGTGGGGAGGGATTCTCAAGCAAAATGTAAGTGACTGTGTATTATTTGTGCTGCCATGTTGCCTCTGGTTTGGCTGTGCTACATAGAATGGTGGAATTGCACCTGATAAGGGTTACCATGAAACTTACCAGATTGGGATCGTAGTATGCTTCCTGAGTTGTTGGGATACTGCTCAGTTGAGTGACATTAGCAGGAAGTGTTTTAGAGCAGTTTATCAACATGTGTTCCAAACCTGTCAAATCCTAATGAAAGTAAAATATGTATCTGTCATACATAGTATACATAAAAAACTGGTTTAAAAATAAGAAGTATGTGCAAACAAGTAACATATAGACTGGGTAGGTTGTATTTATGTACATACATACATATATATGTATACATATATATATACATACATGTATCTAACAACAATTAGTAGGGAGGAAGGTACATGGAAGGACCTGGAAGGTAGAAAGGGAAGGGGGAAATGACGTAATTATATTATAATCTCAAAAAATAAAAGGGGAAAACAAAATAAAAAGTATGTCAAATGGGTCAGGCGGTGGTGGCACACGCCTTTAATCCCAGCACTAGGGAGGTAGAGGCAGGTGGATCTCTGTGAGTTCAAGGCCAACCCAGTCTACAAGAGCTAGTTCCAGGACAGGCTCCAAAGCCACAGAGAAACCCTGCATCGAAAACAAACAAACAAACAAACAAACAAAAAAAGTATGTTAAATGGCTCAAAAGCAATAGCATTCTGAAGTATAAAAAAGAAACATTTCAAAAGAGCAAAATAAGACAACACAACAACAATACTGCATCCTTATCTGAACCAGAACGTGAGTGAAGTTGGTGAGACACCCATTTTTACAAGGTGGTCCAGGCTCACAGGAAGGATGCAGTGCAACTCAACTCATTTTAGCATCTCCATACTTGAGTTTTGCATTTCTAGGGACCACAGGAGGACTTGGTTGAGTCTCAGGTCAGCCGTACCCTATGCCTGAATGAACTTGTCACGAGGGGCATGTGCAGTATCTACCGCCTGGCTCTCTCCTCAGATAACACATGATTACCCCAATGCAAGGCCACAAAACACAAGTTTCAAATATTTTAGTTGTGGCACTAATAAATGGATGAGTTGCTAGCCTATACGTTACAATATTCAGAATTATCTTTACTTGAAATACAGCAGAAAAAGAGGTGCTATCAGAATTATTTTCCACTTAGTATGTTACAAGCTTAAGGTTGGAACGATACATTACCTGCAAGCTTAAAGGCAGATCATGAATTCTGGTAGCCAGCGTTCGGATTTCTCTATCAGACAAGACACCGGATTGGTCTGTATCTACTTCATCAAATACTTGAGAAATATTCAGGGGCTGAACTGCACTCATGAGATAATAGAAATATGAGAAGGCAAACTGCATGTCCTCAGAGTGGCGCACCTTGTGAAATGACGTCTTGTCAAACTCTTCGGGGAACCTGTCCAAACATAACATGTAAAGAGCTTCGGATGTTCTGGGAACATACAGTATTGGGTGTTTATGAAACACAAGTCTGTCTTCACGTCTTATTGATACGGCATCTTTGACTCATCAGGTATGACGGGCATGGCCCATTAGGGAAATATGCAAATGTCAAGCACACAGAAAGGCACAACTGAGACTCACATGTCTTGTAGTTCTTGCATAACAATTCTGTTAATCATGTGGGGCATATGCGCGGGGACTTTCCTGGATGTGAATCCAAACTTGCTGTTTAGGATCTTATTGACGTATCGGAGTGAGTCTGCAAACGTATCTTTTAGTTGCCGCCCTGTATGCTTGCTGTCAGTAAAGTATGCCAGCTGTGTCTTCAATGACTCTTCCTCCTAAAACGGGAATACCATGTAACAAAATTGTGCCACGCACTGTGTTACAGAGTGTGGTAACTGCTCACTAACAGTCCTCACGGTGAATGGGTTCCATGCTGTAGGCTCACTTGAAGGATCTTAAGGGAAACACTGGCTTGAGAATAACAGTGACATAACAGGCCTATTGGGTGTGCCTTAAAAACTAGTTAGAGAACACTAGCCAATTCAATACAACATTTAGAAAAATCATTTACATACAGATTACATAGTGCTGGTAACAAAGGAGCGTGTATTTGAGTTCTGAATATGACTAAAAGAAACAAAGTCAGTTAGGCAGAACTGCAGGCAAAGAACACTGGCAACGAATGTGAACAAACTTTAACAGAAGTTTTTTGCATCACCAACTGAAGATAATGTAGAGGAATGACACTAGCTAGTGCTAGTTAGCATACGAAGGAGCAAGCATTCCTGGGTGCCGTGGGCGTATGAAGTAGTGCCACATTTTAGGACTGAAAGTTTACGAGGATGAAATGCAGCAATTCTACCGATGCAAATAGAAAGCTGCGCATAAGACAATGTGGAAAGAACTCGTTGAAGTGCTGCGGTTGTAAAACACTGGAAAGGTCCGGCTACTAGAGGAGCAAAGGCGCTGCCAAGGGCCGCTTTCTCACAGGCACTGGATTGGAGGTCACCACAGGGAACGTGTAGGTGGCGTGCACTCACCGTTGCAGGACAAAAACTGCAAGGTGGCATGTTCACACGCCTCGAGAAAAGACTGGAAGGGCAACCATTTATCAAATCTCAAGGAAGAAGATTCAACAACATCTTCCCTTTTTATGGCAGATCTCTGTAGTGCTTGAAAATCGCACTAGTCTACAGTCATGAAGACACACACACGGGCTTCTACAGTCATGAAGACACACACACGGGCTTCTACAGTCATGAAGACACACACGGGCTTCTACAGTCATGAAGACACACACGGGCTTCTACAGTCATGAAGACACACACACACACACACACACACACACACACACACACGGGCTTCTACAGTCATGAAGACACACACGGGCTTCTACAGTCATGAAGACACACACACACACACACACACACACACACACACACACACACACGGGCTTCTACAGTCATGAAGACACACACGGGCTTCTACAGTCATGAAGATACACACACGGGCTTCTACAGTCATGAAGACACACACACGGGCTTCTACAGTCATGAAGACACACACACGGGCTTCTACAGTCATGAAGACACACACGGGCTTCTACAGTCATGAAGACACACACACACACACACACACACACACACACACACACACGGGCTTCTACAGTCATGAAGACACACACACACACACACACATGGGCTTCTACAGTCATGAAGACACACACACGGGCTTCTACAGTCATGAAGACACACACACACACACACACACACACACGGGCTTCTACAGTCATGAAGACACACACGGGCTTCTACAGTCATGAAGACACACACACACACACACACACACACACACATGGGCTTCTACAGTCATGAAGACACACACGGGCTTCTACAGTCATGAAGATACACACACGGGCTTCTACAGTCATGAAGACACACACACACACACACACACACACATGGGCTTCTACAGTCATGAAGACACACACGGGCTTCTACAGTCATGAAGATACACACACGGGCTTCTACAGTCATGAAGACACACACACACACACACACACACACACATGGGCTTCTACAGTCATGAAGACACACACGGGCTTCTACAGTCATGAAGACACACACACACACACACACACACACACACACGGGCTTCTACAGTCATGAAGACACACACGGGCTTCTACAGTCATGAAGACACACACACACACACACACACACACACATGGGCTTCTACAGTCATGAAGACACACACGGGCTTCTACAGTCATGAAGATACACACACGGGCTTCTACAGTCATGAAGATACACACACGGGCTTCTACAGTCATGAAGACACACACGGGCTTCTACAGTCATGAAGACGCACAAGGGCTTCTACAATCATGAAGACACACAAGGGCTTCTACAGTCATGAAGACACATGGGCGAGGGCTGCCGCCTTCCACTCAATAGCAAGTGCCCAGTGTGCGAGGCAAAAGGACGCCTCCCAAGGGCTGAGAGGAAGAAGACACGCCCCACTTCACCTTCTTCACTGTCCGTCCCTGACAGTCTGCCAACTCCGGCCCACCTGGGGGCAGCTCACAGGGTGTGTTTCCCGAGGCTAGTTCCCCTGGGACTCAACAAAGACACCACATGGCCACAACTATCAGCTTTATTTCAACTTGTCCTCCTCAGTGGCCTCTAGTCTTCCTGAGAAGTGACTGTGTCTGTATTCTCCAGTGTTCACCACTGTGGCAGCAACTTCAGGCAAAATGACACCATGGCATAGTACAGGCCGGCCACGTGTGACACAAGGGACAAGAGCCCCGCTTCTGGGGTTTGGTTTACAGGGCTGGTTGTGCTGATGGTGGAAATGCCACTGGACTTATCTGAACCTCAGGTTTCTCAGCAGTAAAGCTGGAATAGAACCAAAGCTACAAGCTAAGGGGACAGGCTGTCACTGCTGTCCCCTTCATGTCCCCAGCCTCTGCCCCAGCTAAAACACTTACTCGAGGAAGGACCATTACCTAGACTGCAAAAGTATGTGGCATGTTTATAATTCGGGTTATTGAGGAAATGAAATGAAACCAGTCAAGAAAAGCACTTACTTCGGTTGTGGTCACAGGAAAGTGCTTGACAAATGGTAGTTATTATATTACACTTACAAAGTTAGTTGAGTTCCTGGGCATGAGAGAGAAGAAGGCTGAATCTGACTTACATCAAGAAGGTCTTGGAAATACTTCTTTTTCTCCCAAGGCAAGAAGCCCGGGTAGCTCTCTGTGTAGTGCCGCAGCCTCCTCCCAGGCACTACCTCGTTTACGGTCACGTGGCTGTCAGCGGTGCCCTCCACTCTGCCTCTCTCCTCTCCTTTCCCCGTGAGCTCTTCTTTGGGTGCACTCGCCCCTACTGCATGTTGAGTCTGAGTTTCCAACTTAAGTCTTGCATGGGCCTCCAAGACTGGAGGTGGATTTAAATCGTGGTCACCGCCATTCATGCTCACTGTCCCCACTGGGGACGTCCATGTCTCTGATCTCTGACGAGCAACAAAGCCACCTGGGCTTCCGTGAGAGGGCTTTTCCTGTGGGACCTCCAAATTGTCATTTGTATGGTCAGTCCTTCTGGCTGGAGGTTTTACTTTAGTATCTAGTGAGTTCCCCAGGAAAGACTTCAGCAGGGCTGACTTGGATAAATTATATCCTTTCAGAGTGATGTCTCCAAGTTCCAGCTGCAGATCCAACTTGGTCAGTCTCACCTGGGCCTCTTTCGGAAGGAGTGAAATATTGACCACGGGGATTTTTACCTCCTCTTGGAATCTCCCTGTTGTGTTTACATCATGTCTCCTGACCTTGGGGAAGCGTTTCCCTTTGGGAACATCTTCAAAAGGGATTTCAGCCTGGGGAAAAGGTGTCACTGGGCTAACCACATTTTCATAGGCCTTCTGGGTTGTAGTATTGAGCTTTGGTACCTCCCTCGTGTCCACCTCTACCGTTATCTGGAATTTGAATTCCTGATCATTTGCGTTTTGGAGTGTGAGATTAAACTGTATCACGGTGGCATTCATTCCGCTGTGCAGTATGAGGTGTATGGTTTTCCACTTGTTTGCAATGGATGCATGTCGGATTATTGGATTGTCACTGTAGGCGCCTTCGATTCCTCTTTTGGCTATTTTTGCAAAGCTGAAATAAGACAGGTGTTCACCTTTGGGGATAACATAGTGAGTCTGGTTTGGGAGAAGAGTTACTTTATACAATTCATGAAAATGATCTAGAGGAAAAAACACAAACATGGTTTCTTAGACATTTTTACTGTCTTTCCTTAATTCTCTGGGTTCAAGTTCTTATTCTCTAAGGGTGACTTTAAATTTATTTAAAAATGCTCACAGATTGTAATACAAGGTTTGGGGCTAAGGCTCATCTTATCATTTGAACTGATCACAGCAGTTTACATGGAACATTAACCCTGATTCACTATAGACATGTGGCATGATTTTTAATGATACATTTCAATGACTACTTTCCAACTTTTCACCCATTTGAGGATACTTTAGGTAGTGACAACCATTGAGTGTTTCTCTTTTTGTGGGGTTCACCCTTTGTTTCTCATGTTTTCATGGCAATCCACATACCTTGTCCACAGTCACCAGCATCAAATCCACAGGACAAGACGTTGCAGGCCTGGTCACAGAATTTGTCTGCGAGCCAGGAATTCGCACACCCTTGGTTACAGTAAGAGACACTATTTATTCCTCCACCAAATTGCCAGGGCTGTCCGACTCCAATATTCCCGGTACCCCCACCTCCTGCGGCATAGCGACTCCCTCCACTGTTACCTGCAGAGGGAGAAGGAAGGTAGAGTCCTTTACTGGACTTACAAATGTTTGCAGGACTGAGACATGGATTGCCACTACAGAGGCTCATCCCCTTCCTTAGCATGAAGACTCCCTGTATCTAAGAACGGGAGCTCACCTGGAAGGGTACAGGCAGTGGTGGTTAAGACAGGTACAGCAAAGCTGGGGGAGGGAAAAGAATTATTCCGAGGACCATGACTCAGAATTCCCAAAACCAAGTCCAGACACCGGTAGTAACATCGTCAATTGCTGATCCTTTGCTAGGTCTGCTTACACTGCTGTGTTCTCTCCCTGCTGATGCCTATATTTTACAACAAGGCACCTGACAGAGGGCTAAAACAGCCTTGACTTTGTTTCCTCTAATATTCCACACATTTCCAAGCCCATTTCCTCATCTAGACCACCAGGATGATAACATCTGTGCATACTCTTTCTCAGAGCCCCCCCAAAAAAAAAATCAAAAGGGTTATAATGTTCTAGGCCGGGCACTTGGGAGGCAGAAGCAGGCGGATCTCTGTGATAGCCTGGTTTATAGAGTGAGTTCTAGGACAGGCTCCACAGCTACAGAGAAATCCTGTCTCAAACAAATAAATAAAGTTCTAGAATCTAGTGCTTTATGAACGGGAAGGTAATAAGTAAACACATTTTCTAAAGTGCCAACATCAAGTCCAAAGGTGAACAGGGGAGGTGCTGAGTAGATAAGAGACATTTATTCTGCAACTCTGATTATTTCTCGGCCTACTGCAGTTTCCCCCCGAAAGTTACTGCCATGGATTCCTACAGAACCAGTTGGAATGGTCCTTGGGTTAACACAATTAAGAGTATTCTAGAAACTTTAAGCAATAACAAAAGATATTTCAAATGTAGAGCCTACATCAGAAAAATGCATTCAGCAATGGATGCTGTGAATCAAGTGAGTCACACGGCAACACTGATCTCTGCTATGATGATTTAGGAAGTCAGCAGCACGTATTCTTAGGATTAAGGATGCAAAAATGAACACGTCACATTCAAACATCCTTACCCGAGCAATCACCACCATCCCAGTCACAGGCTGAATTATTACAGGCCTTGTCACAATAGCCATCTTTAATCCAGGAGCCCGGGCAGCCCTCGGCACAATTGGGCACAGGCCATGTCAAATAAACCTGTGATAAAATCAAAGAGAAAATACAGCGATTTCTGACACTTTTTGCTCTTTAATTAAAATACCTTTAGATAAAAATTGAACTTCCAAACTTTCCCAAAGACTGGTACTGATATTCCCCATTGCTTTTGGCTGGCCAATGCCCACTGTAGAGTTAAACCTGCTGAGCATGGCTCTTCTTTCCCAGTTGCTTCAGAGAACAAGGATTGGCTCACGGGTTAGTTTTACTAACATGCTCTTATAATCTACTTCTAAATAAAATAGGCATGTGTCAGCCTGACATGTGAGTATGAAGGCATGGCAGGGTAGGAAGGGGCCATGACACTCACTAGTCACCTGAGCTGTTCTGCACAATCTCCTAAGGCTCAGGGAAGGAGAAGGGGAGTGCCAGGAGCCGCTGTCTCCAGACTAAGGCTGTGCTTAGGCAAATTAATTCCTACAACATTCTGAGCTCCCAAAGTGAGTTATGTGGCGCATGGTTACTCTATAAATTAAACCTACTAATGATAAACATGCCCCTCCCTTTAAAGTCATAGCTCCTTTGCACACTGCACTTATTCAGAATGTATTTTCTAAATCTAAACTGGAACTAGAGACTGTCAGTGGCTAGCGTTCGGCTCTATGGTACAGTAAGTAGTTTGTTTGGCTCTATTGTAGAGTAAGTGCTTTTCTAGCATACATGAGTTCCTGGGGCACAGCAAACACACACACAAATCCAGTTCAATTCAGAGAGGTTTCCCCATCCCAACTGATTTACACCTTTAGTGTTCCGCCCTTCCCCCTAGCACAGCCTGAGCCAGACAGCCCACCTTACTGAAACTCCGTCCACCCCCCCGCTTCTCTAAGCTAACTGTACGTTGCTCATTTTGCTGTCACTCACTCTAGTTGCAGTTTTGTTGCAAAGTGGGTTTGCTACAGTGGAAAACAAAGGTTCGCGGGAGGCTGCAGGAAAGCAGTGTCACACTGCGGTTTTCTCACTCTTAACCCAGACTCTCCTGAGCTAGGGGGTCACAAGTGCACACTGTTAATACTCGTGTACAGAAGTGGATACAGGGATTCATGAGGAAACGCATTTCCTCATCTACTACAGATTTCCCAGCCAGGCGCCCGCCCGTCTTGGCCTTACCTTTTGACCTTTGGAGTGACTGTAGAAGTCGTCTGGCCAAACGTCCTTGCCAAACATGACGTCATCATTCAGATAAATGAACCTCTGTGACAGCCCCTCGATGCGATGGATGTGGCTCTCAATAGCAGGTGAACTGAATGTGGGCAAGTGGCTCAGGTTTCGGAAAATGTCCTTTAACAGAGAGCACACGTGCATCAGGTAAGTGGAGCCGTTCTGACCCGGCTGGGCATTTAGGAGTGGGGAAGGGAGGAGACTGTGGTAATTCAAAGGAGTCTGAGGGTGATGCACCGCACTGAAGGCGCAGAAGGGAAGCCATAGCCAGGAAGCCACAGCCGGGAAGCCGCAGCCTTGGGCTGTTTGCCAAGTCACGCACCTGGTGAGTTACTATTGTCACTCGAGGGTTGTCAAGGTTCAGCCAGGAAGGAATCTGCCCGTTGGTGACAATGAAAACATTCCGAACCCATGGCGCATGTCTTTCGATCGATCGCAACGAGTATCTCAGCTCTTCGTTATCTTCAAAGCGGCTGGCAGACACGTCTTCATCCTGCTTGGACTGGGAGAGATGTTGGGCACACACAGACATGAAGGAGGGACCTGCATGAAACCCCAGCTCCTCCTTGTCTTTCCTCTCTGTCTGCCCTGTTCTAAGGGGAAATGTGCCCCTGTCAACCTGACACAGGCTGGAGTCACCAGAGAGGAGGGACCCTCAACTGAGACAATGCCTCAGGCTGCAGGCAAGTCTGTCAGGGTTTCTTAGTGAGTGATAGGTGAGGAAGGGCCCAGCCCATTGTGAGCGGTGCCGTCCCTGGGCTTGGTGGTCCTGACTCTGTGAGAAAGCAGGCTGAGCAAGCCACGGGAGGCAAGACAGTAAGCAGCATCCCTCTACAGCCTCTGTATCAGTCCCTGCCCTGCTTGAGTTTCAGCCCTGACTTCCTTCAATGAAAACGGTGCTGTGGAAGTTTAAGCCGAATAAACCCTCTCCTCCCCAAGTTGCTTTGGTCATGGTATTTCATCACAGCATAAGAAACCCTAACTAAGATAGGGGCTCTGGCTAGCCTTTAAAATTCAAGTGTGTGTGTGAGAGAGAGAGACAGAGAGAGACAGAGAGAGAGAGAGAGAGAGAGAGAGAGAGAGAGAGAGAGAGAGAGAGAGAGAGAGAGAGAGAGAGAGAGAGAGAATATGCCATCCTCTTTATCATACTTTACACAAAGGGTCTTAGATCCAATTAGTCTTGCAGGCCTGGAGCTCACTATCTAGACCAGCCTGGCCTCTCTGCCTTTGGAGTGCTGGAATTAAAGGCATGTGCCATCTAGCCTGACCAAAGTTTTATTTTATTAGACACTTATGAGTGAGTAAATGTGAATGCATATATACGTGGGAGCCCTTGGAGGTCAGAAGGTGTGACAGCCCTTGAAGCAGGAGTTATAGAAGGTTATAAGCAATGTGAATGCATATATACGTGGGAGCCCTTGGAGGTCAGAAGGTGTGACAGCCCTTGAAGCAGGAGTTATAGAAGGTTATAAGCAATGTGAATGCATATATACGTGGGAGCCCTTGGAGGTCAGAAGGTGTGACAGCCCTTGAAGCAGGAGTTATAGAAGGTTATAAGCCATCCAACGTGGGTGCTGAAACCAAACTTGGATCCTCTGGAAGAGCAGCAAGTGCTCTTAACAGCTGGGCCATTTCTCCAGGCTTGTTCTTTTCAGTAAGTATCAAAACAATGGTAGAAAATGGAAGTTTGGAAAAATCCTAATGCAGTCACTTCTCAGTAAACCCTCTTCGTTCTCCTACTAAATTGATGTATTGATATTTAACATTCTAATTCTTCAGTCCATTGCTCTTCCAGCTGAGCTATTCTGGCAGTGGCAAACACTCTGAATTTCTGACCTGAGTTGTACAGGTCTACACCCTTCCCTGAGCTGTAGAGGTCAGGTCTATACCCATTCCCTGAGCTGTAGAGGTCTACACCCATTCCCTAAGCTGCAGAGGTCTACACCCTTCCCTGAGCTGTAGAGGTCTACACCCCTTCCCTGAGCTGTAGAGGTCTACACCCCTTCCCTGAGCTGTAGAGGTCTACACCCCTTCCCTGAGCTGTAGAGGTCAGGTCTATACCCATTCCCTGAGCTGTAGAGGTCTACACCCCTTACCTGGCTGATGGCACTCAGGTCCCACAACAGATACGCAGGGCTGATGGTCAGCTCTTTCCCATTGATGGTCATGTTCTTCTTGGTTTGCTTGTTTAGCTCTTGGAAACCTTTGGGGTTATTCAGTTTAAGAAGAGCGACACTGGCCTCCGAATACAACTGCAACTGACAGATAACAAAGATACACATGGGCGCACTGGACCTCGGGGAATAAACACAGATCACATGGGCGTACTGGACCTCGGGGAATAAACACAGATCACAAGGGCGCACTGGACCTCGGGGAATAAACACAGATCACATGCACGAACTGGACCTCAGGGAATAAACACAGATCACATGGGCGTACTGGACCTCGGGGAATAAACACAGATCACATGGGCGCAATGGACCTCGGGGAATAAACACAGATCACATGGGCGTACTGGACCTCGGGGAATAAACACAGATCACATGGGCGCAATGGACCTCGGGGAATAAACACAGATCACATGCACGAACTGGACCTCGAGGAATAAACACAGATTTTCTTTTTTTTTTTTGAAGCAGTTTCAGAATCTAGGATGACATTAAACTCATGGCAATCCTTCTGCCTCAACTTTCCAAGTGCTGAGATTACAGGTGTGAGCTATCATGCCCAACTTTTTAACTTTTAGTCTTGAAATGTAAAGACAGTATTACGGGTCAAAAGTTTCAGTCAGATGAATGTGATCAGAACATCTGTTAACAGGAAGGAGTAGGGGAATGGAGTGACCAGGGCACCTTGGTTGTTTGACAGCTGTAGCCACTCCTCAAGAAGTCCTGAGACATCAGACTCTTATGAAATCCCCCCAACATTTAGAGTAAGCTTAAGTGTTTTGTTTATAGCTCTTCATTTAAATACACATATACATACATACATACATACATACATATTTGGTATGGTGGCACATGTCTTTAATTCCAGCACTCAAGAGGCAGAGACAGGCAGATCTCTGTGAGTTCGAGGCCAGCCTGGTCTACAGAGCGAGTTGCAGGACAGCCAGGGCTATGTGGAGAGATCCTGTCTCAAGAAAAAAGAAAAAGCCAATGGTTTCTGACTTTGTTCTAGACTATGACCAAGATGACCATTCTAGGGGAAGCCTGCAGTGTAGCGCTGCTGGATCAGGTGACTTTGTGCTGTAACCGGCACCTTAGCAGCTTCCTGCCTTACTCCTGGAGTGTCTTGGGCCTCGTCTCGAGGTGCCTCTAGAGGAATGTAACTTTTAAGGGCAAAGCTTTGGAGCAACCATAGATCTAAGAGCAAGCAACGTGAACAGCAGCAAGTTTTACACACTGGCTTCTCCGACCTCTCAGCGCCCACGGCACCTCCATCTGTGTTTGTTTTAGACTCTGGGTCAAGATTTCCTAGGAAAGGAGGTTTTCAACCAGAAGCTAAGGAGAAGGGCAGAAATCACCCCACTGGAGAGAGTAAATCCTTCTGCCATGATGGCCACTCTGACAAGACTGCCATTTTCTTCCTCAGTCTTTAAGACAGAAACAAACACAGATGCTTACAGTGTCATCTGGGTACTGTATTTGCTATTAGACTGTCTCAACTCCTTTTCTAAACAGCTTCCTGAGTTTCTAGAGGTCTCCCCAAGCCAGAAGAGAGTGGTGGAACTTATGTCTGTCTTGCCCCTTCTCACCAGTGCGTGCTATTAACTCTTGACCAACAACGTGCATACCGTCTTCTGTTGTGTTCCTGTCCTGGCATGCTTCAAGAGCTCCAGGACTCAGCTCCCATGCTGTCAACCCTGCCTGCGTGTGCAGTGGAAGGGAGACAGCACTCTAGGTACATCCCCACCTATTCCTACAACTCTCTGATCCTTTCTTCCCATTCACTGGTCCCCATTGTTCTAGAATAAAACCATTGTTCTAGAATAAACAAATAGTGATTTAGTATTATAATTTAATTTTAAACTTAATGAGAAAATGTCTGCATCCTAATCTCTTGTATAAAAATTGTTCTTACCTTGGAGATTATTTAAGCCTTATAGACATTTTTAAAGTTTACAGATTTTTAAGACACGTTAGGGTCGGGCGTTGGTGGTGCACACCTTTAATCCCAGCACTTGGGAGGCAGAGGCAGGCAGATCTCTGTGAGTTCGAGGCCAGCCTGGTCTACAAAGTGACTTCCAGGACAGCCTCCAAAGCCACAGAGAAACCCTGTCTCGAAAAACCAAAAAAAAAAAAAAAAAAAAAAAGACACGTTAGGATAAGTTTAAATTCCAGTTAAAGATCTGAGGCTAATGCATCCCTGGCATGTACCAGCATATCCAAATGCGATACTTAATTTCTAACTCACAGTGAGTATGTGCCATTAGTGATGTGTTTATGCTAGCATTGTTTTTCCTTTTGCCTAGGTACTATCTATCAGGGAAAGCTAAGTGCGCAGACTCTGTGACTAAGGAAGATGCTACAAATACCCCATGTTAAAAAACCAACAAAGCCCAACTGTCTTAGCATGTTTACACGTGCATGTTGTCTTCATGTTGGCACTGAGGAATGACCCCAGAGCCGCACGTGTGCTAGGGAAGTGCTCTGCCACTGTTACACGTCCGGCCCTGCTTTTTCAGACAGGATCTCACTGAGGTACCCGGACAGGCCTTTAATTTGCGATTCTCTTACCCAGCCTTCTGAGGTAGATTGCACGTCTATGTTATATTTTAGCTTGCTAATTATAGCATTTTCACTACAATTTCCACCAGTGACTGGGCACATACTGTGTACCAGACCCTGCCCTGGGCAATTATTATGCCAGGGTTAAAGTGTAAATTCTGATCTGCACTGCTCTAAGTCTGTGTCATTCATTTAGGCTTGCACTGCTATGCTGGCCTGTGAGACGCAGGGATAATGACGGCTGGCTCAGCAGACACCTGTACCTCAAGTGGAGGCTTGGACAGAGATGCCTGCTGAGCTGAGCTCCAAGTAGTCAGAACGGAAGTGACATTCTCTGCTCAGCTCTGCTCACTCCAGGAAGTAGCCCAGGGATCATCAGCCAGTGGTGAGGCAAGAAAACCACCCAGCCTGGCTGCGGAGCAAAGCAGGAGCCAGGCTGTCACCAGGTCCGGGTGATGGTCACTGCGCAGCTCCACAGAGTCCCAAGCCACCACAGTGAGAGGGTGTGGGCTTCCATTTGAGGCAAACAAAACCCCATCTTTCTTTTTCTCACCGTTAACCAGTAAGTACAATGGGCTGTTGCTGTGTCACTGACAAGAGAAGAAACTGGGGTGAGGGTGTGTATAGTCTTGGTAGAGTGCTTGACCCTCATCGTGAGGTTCTGGCTTCCAACCCAGCACCATGGATTTACAAGAAAAGATGTTTCAGAAGTTCTTAAGACAGCTTGGGGATTCTAATAAAGGAGCCAAAGATTCGCAGCATTATTTAAAATGTCTAATTTTATTTCATAATTTGTACGGCCCTTTATTTGGAAGAAGCGCACCAAGAAAATTATTAAGTTAGGCAATTTTCAAATTTTTATTTTATATATGCCTTTTGAGGGAGGGAGGGAGGGAGGGGGAAGAGGGAGGGAGAGAGGGAAAGAGAGAGGGAGGGGAGGGAGGGGAGGGAGGGAGAGAGAGAGAGGGGCATGTACACCACAGTGCAGGTGATGTCAGAGGACAACTGGCAGGGGTCTGTCCTGTCCCTCTAACTCGTGGGACAATAGGACTGAAGTTAGTGAGAAGATGTGGCAGCAGACACCTTTGCCACTAAGCCATCTCACCAGGCCATACTAGCAGTTGCCCAGGACTAGCTTCTAACTACATCATCAAAATCAGAAATAGGCTCTCTCACGATAACCACACAATACTTGAAAGAGATAGAATGCAAGGAACTTTAAAGGTCAGGTTTTTCTGCCTCTATAAGGAGCATGAAGTATCCTCTGTTGTCCACTAGGTGGCAACCCAACCCTGCAACTCTATTACTTGTATTTGGTGTCTTGTGGAAAAGGAATTTGGGGTGGGGGGGGGTTAGCAAATGTCATTTATTGCTGGAGGTTGATTTCTGGTAAGGTTCAGGAGCTGTGGCTTCTGCTGAAGGATGGAGTTCTTAGCTAGAACCCCTGCTCTTTTTGCCACCAGTTCTGCAGAGCTGGGACTCCAGGCCATTCTGGTACACTTTGCTGGCATCCAACCCACTGAGCTATATTTGAAGCTTCAAAAATTACTGAAACACCTCTAAATGTGTTTCTACCAGAAAATAGAATTCTTAGCACTGATGACAAAGAAAAAAAAATCAACTTATTCTCAAGTATCAACTATGGCCAGAATATAATTATTTACAACCACCTCAATAATATGAGGTTTGCTTTCATCTTTGATAAATGGTAAATTTACATGTATACCAAAGAATTATTTGAAAATAAATTCCCTTGGCTGGTAGGATGTCTCAAGTGATAATGGCACCTGCTCCAAGCACCCATGATATCACAAGTTTGACTCTCAGGACCACATGGTGAACAGAACTGACTCCTGAAAGTTGTCCTGTGACTTCCACACATGTACACTGTGGCATTTACACACACACACCACACTAAATGTAAGTAACAAAAATTTCCTTATAATTTATTATCAGTAAATGTATATCTATATCCTATACCTATATACCTAGAGTCACATAAAACTTTCACAAGTCACAGGGATTGTGGTGGGAAGGTTAAGGAGGCTCTGATTCAGAGAACAGAGGCCCGGGTACTGCTAAGTCTCGTACGAGCACATGTCCTGAGGTAAGACCGTCAGAACATGGGCAGACAAACCTGCTCTAGGAGAATGGCTAACCCCAAAGAACAGCAGGGCTCTCCTGTAAAACACCCACCCCCAACAACAGTTTAAAGGACTCAAAAACTAAGAGGACAGAAGTTGGTTTTAAGTTAGGGTTGATTTGATTTTTATGGTATTAAAAAGAGTCTGGGAAAAAAACAGCTAACCGGAAACAAACCAACATCTTTTAGGGATTTGGTAAGTCAGGGCTGCTAGGTTTAAAATGTCCTGGTGGTTGTTCCAGAACTAAAGTTAGTTCTATAATTGTTGCTTTATCTGCTGACTATTTTAGAAAAAGCAAAAAGGAAGCTCATGCATTAAAAGCCAAGTGAGTAAGATATTTTCACAGAAGCCATTAAAGGTGTGTTAGTAATAATATTGTAT